GCTTTATAGAAAACTTTATATACTAATTTTTATAATATATAATTAGTTACTATAGATTATCTAATAAGATTATATTAAATAGAGAAATAATATTTATTTCTAAGTTTTAATAATTATTTATAGTATAAATAGATATTAAATATAAGCTTTTAATAGCTTACTATCTATAAAGTAATAACTAAATTAAATAATTAAATTAAACTCTAAAATAATATCTATAAGTATATATTAATTATAAGTAAAATAATTAGATATAATTATTACTAATAGTATAGATTACTTATAATAGTTTAATATAAGAATCTACTTAGTTTATATCTATATATATAAATTATAGCTATAAGCTATAATTTTAAAGTTAATTAGAACTTAATAGATTTAATATACTAGCTATTATACTAATAAAAGAAATATTATATTTACTATATATAGAAATAAAAGTAGAACTTAAGTTTATCTAATAATAAATAAAAAAATATTATAATAAAAATAGATTAAAAGAATTAATTTTAAAGAAAAAAGATAAAATCTATTTACTCTATAAAAATATTATAATAATAAAACTAAATAATAAATTAAACTATAAAAAGCTTAAACTATTTAAAATTCTTAAGAAAAAATTAAATACTAACTATAAATTCTTATTACTAGATATAATATATATCTATCTAATTTTTTATATTTTATTATTTAAAAAAATATTAAAAAATATATTAAATTAAAATTATTTAATTAAAGTTTATAAAAAAGAATTTAAATCTTAAAAAATACTAAATAAGAAAATTAAGAATAAATAAATATTTTATTTAGTAAAATAGAAAGATTATAATAAAAATAATAATATATAGAAACTAATTAAATATCTAAAAAAGTACTAGTATTTAATATACTAGTATTATTAAAAAAAAAAGAATTAGTAACTTTATCTTAAATAATATTACTAAAGAGATTCTCTATAGAAAGATTAAAAGTAAAACTAGAAAAGTTAATTATCTATATAGTATATAATATTTAGACTTAGAATATAAGCTTAGCCTCTTAAGCCTATATCTATTCTAACTCTTTCTAATAACTTTTCTTTTCTACTTCTCTTTATTTCTTTTTTTCTAGCTTTTCTATATTATTTAGCTTTTTCTTTAATATCTTTATACTCTTCTTATAAAGCTATTTTTATATCTTCTATAAATAAGAAATTTATATAAATACTATTACTAATTCTACTTTAGCTTTAGACTTCTTATTCTCTAAATAAAATAGCTTCTTATTAATTTTCCTAACTAATTAAGGAATTAGAAAAGACTATTAGAGATATATAGTATATAGATACTTACTAGAAGATACTAGAGAATATATACTATTATATAAATAACCTATATAAATATATATTATATAATAATTTAAACTTAGAATAATAAAATAGCTTATATTCTTTTCTATATAGTAAGTATAAGAAATAATCTTAAATCTATAAGTAAGAATATATTCTAACTTTTAGATATACTTATATACTAAATTAGATTTCTTTTATTTTAAAATATAACTAGATATTTTATTAGTAGGATATATAATAAAATAAATAAGAGATTAAGTATATATTAAACTAGTATAGGAAGAATAATCTAGCTTTAGAAATAAGACTAATAGAGAGAGGATATTATATTATAAATAAAGATCTCTATTAAGCTATATAAAGTTATATATAAAGTATAGATCTACTAAAGAACTATAACTAATAAGTATAGATCTATTACTCAGATAGTATAATAACTAAGTAATAGATAAGTAATAATCTTATTATATATATATATTTATTTTATTAATTAGAATACTTATTTAGTTAGTTATTAATATAACTATCTATATATCTATTATTACTAGCCTTATAATACTTATATATTAATAGTAACTTATATTATATAGTCTAAGATAATCTAATTATACTACTTAGAATAATACTCTAATTAGTTTAATCCTAATCTATTTTAGATCCTATTTAGTATAAGTTATCTAACTATTATATATAGTTATATAAATAACTATATTTATATTAGAATTCTTAATTAATTAGTTATCTATCTCTCTCTCTTCTATTTACTTATAATATACTTTATCTAGAAATAATCTAGAAGAGTAATATATTTTATATATATATAAGATTAATTAATTTATTAATCTATCTTTTTTTATTTAAAAGCTTTATTATTTTAAAGGATTTTTATTATATATTATATAGTTATATAATAAGATATTAGAAAGTAGTTTAATTTATTTATAAATTCAGACTAGCTAGATATACTTAATATCTTTATTAGATTAATAAAGTAATTTAGTATTTACTAAGTAGTAGATAAATATTATTTTAGAATAATAGCTCTAATATTTAAATTCTCTTTAATATTAGTCTCTAGATTCTTAGAGGAGTTAAATCTCTATAATAGACTATTATTATAAAATAATTACTCTTTATATTTATATAGATAATAGATTATATTCTATAATTTATAGCTTTTATTAATAATATAATCCTTTAGTACTAGTACCTTTAGGCCCTTAGAAAATTCCGAATAGCTACAGAGAGACAGATCTAATATACAAGAGGCCTGGTAGTATAGGCTAATCCTGGAGATCTTATCAATTGTCTCTATATAGGAAAAAGTAGGGTTTTTAAGCTAAAACTGAGCTAGAAATAGCTATTAGAAAAAAACTACTTTAAGGTACGATAAGAAGTGGCCCGCTCGCTTGTGTGGCCCGCTCGCTTGTATGGCCCGCTCGCTTGTGGATTATATTAGTTCTAAAAGAGTACCAGGTCTTATATACCGTATAAATTCGCAAAATTCGGGCAAGATAAGCCCTATAATAATCCCTGTTTTTCTCTATATATTATCCCCTGCTAAATATAAACAGGTTAGTTTATTCAGATCGTACCTAACTAACCTCTTAAAAATATATTAGTTAATAAGTTAATCTAAGAGATCAGGGCTGCTTCTATAAAGCTAGGGAGCCTTTTCTAAAGCTATTTATAATATCTCCTTTATAGCTGAGAGATCCTAATATAGTAGTTATACTAGCTAAATACTATACTGGCTGGAAATATAAGAGCCTCTTAGATTAAATTTATACTCCTGTAAAACCTGTCTGCTATACTGAATAAAGCTATACTAATATAATAAGAATAAAGGTATTTATATTTCTTTATTATTATTATATTTTTATATAAAAGGTTATAAGATCTGATTTCTATTATCTACCTATATAATATAAAGCTACTGCTTTCTTTAATATTCTAAAAGTAATAATTATAGACTGGGTCTATTAATAGGGTAAGATTATCTTAGGAAAACCTTCTTACTATAGCCCAGAGTAGCTACTGCTTAAGGAAGCCCTAATAGAGGACTTTTTTATCTAATATAAGCTAGGCAGGCTCCTTATAGTTATCTGGTTTAAGAGGAAAGTATAAGAGTTATTTTCTTTAAAATACCCTAATTATAAAGGCTTTTATATTTTCTAATAGTTAGTAGGCTAACTTTAAGCTATAAAATAACCTTTTAAGAAGATATATAATAAGGAGGATTATAAAGATCTCTAAAGAAGCAGTTTTAATTATTAATAATTTCCTATAATTTATCTAATAAATTTTAAATAAATACTCTGCTATTTTTAATTATATCCTTATAATAATATTACCTATAAGATAATTCTGATAAAGCTGTATTATAAATATAGATAAAACCCCTATACCTTTTAAATATCTTAATAGCTATATATATAAGGTTAAAGGTATAAAGATAATAAGTAAAAAATCTGATTAAAGTAGATAGAATAAGTATTAGGCTATCTTAATCCTTTATATCTTTATAGATAGGGTCTAAAGATTAAAGCTGAAGATTATTTTCTATAGTAAGGAAGAGGGTTAAATCTTTAAAGATAAAGATTATTTTTACTTATCTAATATTACTATTAAATTTAATAAAATAGTATATAATAATAAGGAATTATTAAAGTAATAGATTATTAATAAATTAGCTAGAATTCTTAGTAATAAAGAGTATCTCTTAGTAATAGATATAGCTAGTTTCTATATAACTGATAATATACTTTAAGATCTATAATCTTATAAGATTATAATAGCCCTGATCTCTCTGGGTTATATAAGTCTTCTTTAACCTCTTGATATAGTAATTAATAAGCTATTTAAAGATTAATTAGCTAAGAAGGCTTTTAACTATATTAAAAAGTATAATCCGGATAGAATAAAGAAATAGTTAGTTTAAGATAAATATATTATAACTACCTATATTATTATAGCAGCTACTAAGAGGCTATCTGAAAGACCTAATCTTATTATTAATACTTTCTATTAATATAGTATTAGTATTAGACCTGATAGAAGTAAAGATTATAAGATCTGTATTAAAGATATACCAGCTAAAGCTATTAACTTTAATAACTGGGAAAATACTGAAGAAGTTATCCTTAATACCTTTAAGATTATTAACTGGATATATAATAAAGAGGAGATTAGTATTACTAGTAATAATCTTATAATAGCTCTTAAAACCCTATGAATTATAGAACTAAAAGACCTACTTAGGTTATATAGGCTGCAGCTATTAGGAAATAAGAAGGATCTTCTTTAATACCTTGAAAATTATATCCTAGCTGCAGCCAGGCTCTTATAATAATCTTAATTATCGGATAATTTATAGTTATTTTATTAATATAAGGAGACATAGTTAGCCTGTTTAATTTGGCAGGGGATAATGTATAGATCCGAGCAAGGGTTCCTATAGGGCTTATCTTGCCCGAATTTTGCGAATTTATACGGTACCGCTATCTTTTCCTAGTAAGTATACTAAGACTAATAGGCTTATATAGGGTATACCGCTATAGTAGAATACCTTAATTCATTCTTAATAGCTCCTCTAAGCCCTATCTTATAAAGTATCTGCTTCTCCTAGCTGTTGACCTCTGCGGCTTGATACAATTTTCAGAATTCCCTTTTATAACGCGAATATGCCCCCGACAACTAGGGCAAGACAAGTTACGCTGACGATTGGACCCGTTAAATGTCCAGCAGCACCTGGCTGGTGGCCACTGCTCGATGAGGACAAAGGTAATCCGGACGTAGTTGTGTTCCCGATTGTTGAAGCTTCAGTCGTTGTAGCCATGGGCGATGTGGACATTGGTGAGCTCATCGTTGCACTCGTCATGTTGCTGGAGCTGTTTCCCAAAGTGCCGCCAAATGTAGCTGGGGGGCTAATGCTGTTCGCGCTGTTTTTAGCAGCGTTCTTAAACTCGTCGAGTGTGTCAGAGCCCTGGTTGATAACGCCTGCCATGCCGGCCTGGCAGTGATCATCGACGCCGCAGTAGAAGAACACGGGGTCGCTGTTATTGATAGTGATCGAAAAGAATGACTTGCGGGGTAAATATTAGCTTGCGAAGAGATGGATGCGTGACTCACACTTGCCAGCATTAAGCTAACGCGCGCTTGAGACAGTCACCGGAGTGGCGAAGCAATAAGTTGCTAACCTTATCACCCATAGGAAGGGTGCCAGAATAGAATCCTCCACTAGTGACTGGAGTGCATGGCTTCTTAAAGTCGCCGGCGATAACGCTATGCATCGCGTTGAAATGGAACTCGACGATGTCTCCCTTATCAGCCTTTATAGTATCAGGAATGTATCTCAGCCCGTCCTTGCCGACCTCAACTCTGTAGGTCTCACACAATGCCCCTGCAGCAAGCGCGGCCAAGACGATAAAATTGAGAGACGTATAATGCATAGTTGATAATGTCGAATAAGGTATACCGACTAATGTTTTCAATATTTGTGATGACAGATATGTAATACTATTACACTCTTAAAATATAATGAGGATAGCCATTGGCGGCCTTGGTCAGGAGGCCAGATTTTCTCTCTATATATATAATTCATGCGCTTAGTTAAATGCCCAATGGCTGAGAGCTTTTATACCGCCACCACGCCATGACTAACTCATTCGCACGGGCATTGTCATGTGGCTAGACGTGAAACCTAACCCCCCCTTTACCTCGTATTGCCGGTTAAATGCTCACCGTCCGCCCTCCTTTCACCTCATTTAGCCGGTTCCCCCCCCTTTTAACCTCGTATAGCCAGTTAAGTTTCCGGGAGGCAAGGAATAGTCGTCGGCAATCAGATGAACATATATCGCGCTTATGTCTCTGCGTAACTAGTCCAAGTGCAATTACACCACTAGTCTCAGGCTCTCACTAGCGCTGGTGGGTTGAGCAGCCAGGATGTTTCTCCAATTGTGTCTGTTTGTGAGTGTGTCTGCCGCGGCGCAACCATTTTGGAGGGTCGGCCGACGACACTGGACGCACATCTCCTTGAGGCCCCCAAGGGAGTAGTAATTCGATTGGCGAGAATTCCTTGAAAAGGCGCTGGATAGGAGGTATATAGATCAGCACTCAATTTTGGAAAGTCGCGACAAGACTTAAAACCTAATTAGTGTGGTATCTGCCAATTTGGTCAATAATTATAGTTCGTAACGACCCTTCAACAAGTAAGTACAAGTTAGTTTCGCGCTTATATACAGCTGCCAGTGTGATGGAAGTAAGCAACCCTTTTGAGCTTTTTAAGATTTGACATTTTTATCGAATAGATCGAGACCTTCCCTATTCTTACCACCTCTCCAAGCCTGAGAGAGAGAAAATTAAAACCCAAACCTATTTAATCCACCCTAATAGAACTATTCTCCATTCAGATCTTGTACCAGAAAGCCAGATATCCCAAACTCATCAGGCTTCGCCCCTGCAGAGCCCAAGAAAGTTAAGGGCACATCAGCGCCCTTCTGCGGGTTATTGCTAGCTTGCAGCGGCTCAAATCCTGCGCTATTTGCCGTATCGTATGCGAGCGTCACATTGCTTGGTAGATTAGGACTGTTGTATAGATTGTATGGCCTCTTGTCGCCGTCCCCCGGCATAAAATTATACTTCCACACCCAGTTTGTGCAACTAGTTGGTTATCCTAGGCATTTTGCGGCACAGTCACAGGCGGTCCTAAAGCTATCCTTGAAGTAGAAGTGTAGCTCTGTAACGACGCCTGTCATATCAATACCTTGATAGTAACGGATACAACCGCCGTCAATATTAGGAGCCTGCAGATTCGGAAAGTGGAGATCCAAATGCATACGCACCAGCTTAGAATCATTGCATCACCATGACCAACTTCAAGCATCATAATATTATAATGCATGTTTGATAGTCAGCCACGAGATATATACTTTAAGGCTAAGAGATGCCTTTCCTATTTGTAGTATCAATCTTCTTCTTTAGTAGAGTTCACTATTATCCACCACTTTTGTACGCGGGAGTGATCATTTCGGGGAACCGAACTAGAAACGGCCTTTGGCGTGCCGACATTTTAGGCAACCCGGAGGGGAACTCAATACACATTTGATTGCTTAGAAGAAGATCCTCAAAAGAAGATCCCAAGATGGTAGTGGTGGACGTCGAGCGAGGGATTTATAGTCGAGGTGGCCTTCCAGACAGTGTGAGGGAGCGCCAAAACTCCTAGTAGTACGTGAGGGCCAAGCCGTGCGGTCCTCTCGGCGGCACAAGAAAAGACAGTTTGTACTTCCAAAAGCTAATAAAATGTTCTATGAAGCCGGAGCCAATCATTGGCTGTAGGTGTGACGTTAGAAAGGCGATGATTTCGGCTACGCCGAAATAGTAGTAGGATACCGAAACTCTAAACTCCTTTATTGTGCCGTCGAATACGAGTATACAGATAGGAAAATAAACTGCTACTTCAGTTCACAACCTCACATATGCTAAATATAGATCCTAAGCTGGGGCCAGCCTATAGCCTGTTAAATACAGGCAATATTAAGCAAGATCCCCATATACTGCCAGAAGTAAATATATACTCTCTCAGTGATTAGACCAATCAATTTACTTCTATCATATCAAATTATAACTTCGCTACAATATGAAATTTATCACCGGAAAGAAACCAACGCTGACATATCATGGAGGCTGTCCCTCGGGCTGGAGCACTATTAAGCGCTCTGACGATAATACTCGAAAAAATAAAATCATGCAGGATGGCCAAGGGTGTGATAGCTATAGCGTTCACATATTGTATTGTCCGCCTGGCAACAGATTACTATTATATAGGTAGTATCGGTATCGCAACGGAGATTGTCATAGCGAGTGCCCTAGCGATATGGTCTCTGTGGCTACCAACAACCAGCATTGTTATGCGGCGGGTGTAATTGGGCTTAGGGGCTACCAAACAGCATGCTGTTCCACCGGATATAGTATTAGATCCTATAGCAAGGTATTCGACAATATGAAGCTCCATTCTCAGTGCGAATGGGGCGTATAGCCTTACTGCGATGAAAAATGCACCAGTTCGGAGAAGAACGACCTCGTGTCAAAGTCACGCGACGGCTCGGGAGGCGCTGTGTTCCTGGCTGGGAAGCAGGGCTACTGCTACGACAACGACGACGTGGATTGGAAGTGGGACAGCTGCGAGTGGTACAAGGATTACGGCGACGGCCCTGAGGGGTCGAAAAACTGCAAGCCTGGCTGTCCGTCTAACAAGGTCCGGGTCTCGATGGAGTCGACCGACTGCAAGAATGGCGCGTGGGCTTATTGCTGTTCCGCCACAGCGAGGACACTGGAGAAGCGGCCGAACCCCATGCTCAAAGTCTACGAAGACTCTTTGAAGACGTATATCAAGGATCCCACCTGCCCAGCGAATTACACAGAAAGCGAGAGTGGACTGATGGCAGTCAAGGGTTTTCTTTTCGGGTCAGTTCAAGGTAAGATCAAACTCCAGTGCCGAAGAGTTTATGGCGCAAGAATCCTCTCGTTTCAGCAGAAGGTTTTAGCATAGAGAAGTGACTGACCAGTCATGGTCCTATAGGGAATAGCACATCCAGCTCGGGGTTGGTTCGACGGTCGTCCAGTACAGTTACCCTCGAAGGCGTAAAGGACGTGGTTGATATCCTTAGGGATGACTTTGTGAGCTTGGATATCACAAACCTTTGGAACGACGTTGTAGGATCCCGCTTCACAAGTCTTACAGCCGCGAACGTCCACGAATACTTTAGGGATGACCTATACTCTCTGATAGCTATAGGAGGTTTTTCGATGGCCGTGACGTATTTCGTGTGCAACCTTGAATCAATGAATGTTTTGCTTGGGGGAGATACCAATAGTCCATTCAGCTGCACCACGTCGACGAAGAACCCGTGCGACGAAGACGACGAAGAGACGTGGTCCATCTTTGCCAATAACCCCATCAAATGGGCCACAACGGACGGGAACGGTGTATCCTTCAGTGGCCAGTATACAAAGATTCGCGTGAGTATTCTTTTCAAATTTGCCAAAAAAAGTTTTTAAGGCAATTGAACTAATCGTCTCACCAGCCATATGGCGGGAATGAGGTGAGCTCCCACGCTTTTCGCTCATGCAACTGAGTTCTGGAAATCTAACCCTCCGTGTCTAGTGGGATCCGACCGACCCTGTCCAGAGCGCCATGTATCAGGGCGTGTATACTTCGCCGGCGCGAAATTGCCAAGTCATCAACATGCGAAAAGAAGACATGTTGTCGGAGCGGTTGAACGGTCCCCTTTCCAACGTTGACAGTGATTCAAGGCCTGCCCAATGCTGAAAGTACATCCATCACATGCTAACATGCGGAATGTAGCTGAACATCCGATCGAGGGACAGACAGTAAAGCTGCTTTACGAGGACGGCATAGCAGGACGGCTCGCGAACAGCAAGAAATCGGTTCACAGTCTGCCAGGGGATTTCGTCACCGTCACACTCCAAGACATACAGATTCTGCTACAGCTTAATCCAGTCCCCAACCCTCCACGTGGCCATACTTCTAATACGAATGCTGATTATCATTCTCTTGAAAAGCGACTTCTCAATGCCCTTGGAAGTAGATTTAATACCGATGTTTTTGTGCTTGCAGACAAAGACCTCAACTGTATGAAAGAAAAGGTCAGTTTCTCCCACTACCCTTCGAAGGAATAGTCTGGTAGTCTGGTAGTTGTGATAGTGATTACTAGTTGTCTTCGGTTGCATTGGTGGTTCAACGCTGATAAACAATATCCTTAGCTTTGGGCGGGCAACGCCCCACTAGGGGAAAAAATCATGAAGAGCTTGCTGACGCATGACACTGGTGATGCCGATATTGTTTTGACTTACATACGTAATGTATGAAATCCCCCTTGGAATGCAATATACAGGGATCGAGATTTGACGTGCTTTTCTATCCCGGGCTAGGTTATCGGAATCGCTACTTATCTGAACGATGACACGCTCCACAACAAGATGAAGAACATCATCATGGAATTTCGCAAACAGCTGCGCGTGGCTGAGCGAGCCCACCTGGCGCGCACGGGTGTCAAGGTCGAGGCAGTAGCCTTTTTCGACGAGTGGATGCCGACGCTTTTCGAGCGCATCCGGGGAGACATGATTTCCTTTGCCACGACATGGTGTGACAAGCTGGACGCCGCCTGGCAAAACGTTCCCCAGGCGCAGGGCGTAATCCAGCAGACGACGCACCTAAGAGCATCTGCGACGGCGACGAGGACCATCATCAACCAGCGGAACTTTTACGATCCTGTATGAGCAGACACCTCTAGGACAGTTGGCATGTGGCATGCAATGTTGACAATCAATCTAGATCTCTTTGCTGGATACGGCCTCAGACTACGGCTGTCTCGTGTTTACTGTTTGAAGAAAGGAATACTAGGTCTATTTGTCTTGAAAAGGAAGACAGAGTTTTTAATTCCTGTATGTCTTTTACTATGCCACCTAGGTATAGCTCCAACCTATAATCAGGCTAGAGGAAAAAGAATACTAGACCAGTGACTGCTATGCTATGCTATACGGTACTATAGGTCAAATCGGCGGAGGGAGCCACAATTGCCTCGGGTCTGTACTGGGCTGGTACGGCGGTAGGGTCATGGCGATGGCAGGGTTTCTCTCCTCCGCCAGAGCAAGTCGCAATATGTAGTGGTATAACTCTGGCACGATGGAGCATCGGCCTACCATCATCTATGTCTTGTTACTAATTGTCGCCTGCACTATCGCCCTTAAACAAGCCCGTTGGTCTCGCCCTTCGACTCTTTCGTGGCATACACTCCTCGGCATACCTATCTGCCGCCTTCTTCAAGCTCTTCGCTGCACATATCCAACATAGCTGCTGCTGGTGATAAGCCAGACCCTGGCCCCTTCCCAGAAGAATTACTCCGTTCGCAAGGGCCGCCGTACCGCACGGACTATGATTCCCCCCTCGCTTTCGAAATCGCGAAAGCAGAATATTCCATGCGGGAAGACTGTGATCGAGTCGTCACTTGGGGCCAAGACACCCGCTTCAGGCCTCACACATGGGGCTTCACTCTCTATCGCGCCTGTTTCGGTCCCGGGACGGATGAGCGTTTCACCGACGCTGTTAGACGCCTCGACGCATGGGTTCGTCACCTCGTGCTGAGCAACCGGTACCGCGGGCTGGATGCAGACACGCGTGAAGAATGCAGGTTGCTTGACTCACGGCTCGACCCCCAGCGGCCTCTCCCGTCGCGAGAACTGGCAAAGAGGTTCCACCTAGAGGTCATCGAGGACTATCCTGGCAAGGAACATGTCGTAGCCGGCCACGTCATTGAAGACGGCGAGGAGGACTTCTCTCCAGTGGGAGAGGCCTTCACGAAATGGGTGAGCGAGCATGCCGTCACCCAAGACGACCTCTACGTGCGCAACGACCACTGCCTCATTGTAGATGAGAAAGCGCTGGAAGCTCTCGAACGACTCCCTCGGAGCACCCCAGAGCCAGGGCCAGAACCGGCAAACGCACCCCAGGCAAAGCTTCTCTATGGGCACAACTCGGGGGCCTGGGTCTGGATGCTGGATCGGGAGTATTTCCACACGTTTACACATTCTGGCCCGGAGCACATTTGGATAAGAGACACATTCGGAGGCGGCCCACGTTATATCAGCGGGCTCCCTGCAAGTCCGTGGATTCGCATCATGCCAAGTTCTATCCCAGAGGTATGGTTCCATCGCCCCAGAAACTTTACTCCATCGGATTGGACCGCCGTGATACAGAGAGATAAACACAAGTTTGATAAAATTAATTGGTGGAACCCCGTTCCATCGGCCATCAACGAAGTCTACAGTCACAAACGTAGGGAGCAGCTAGCATAGTAACAATCGGAACCAAGGGAGGAAAAGGGGGGATGATATTGTTCATCCATATTCCATTACACCTAATTGCAGGTTAGAGCCTTAAGGCTCACTATGAAGGACACAGAGCAGGTCATTGATCATACACAATAGATCCCTACAATCTACTACCGTTCCCTCCCGTAGCCTTCATGATTTTCAGACCATGTCTGCCTCCTTAAAGTTCAGTAGTATACGCGGATTCATTATACAACCCCCCCGGCACTTAATACCACACGCCGGATATATATATCTGTTTCTGATATTTCTTCGCTAGTTAAGATAAAGATATAATATTACTCAGGGTAAGAGCTGAAGTTAATATGTTTAACCATAGGACAATAGCAATACTTTCTCGTATATAAAGGAAGTAGAAGTCCTGTATAAAAAGACTGTTTTCTCTTCAACGAAAAGATACTACAAGTACCAAAAAGCCTCAAGTTCCCTGGTCATTACTGAAAGATCTCTGACGCAATGTATTCTGGGTAGTCTCGGCCCTTCCACTGGCAACGCCCAGAACAATCCACAACCGCGAACTGGATGTCTACTGACGTTTTCCCCAGTAGTAAGGAAAACAGGAGGCTTTTTGGACCTCAAAACCTTAGCAAGCACACGAATGATTTTAAGAGGCCAACGCAGCGACAAACAGCGCAAATGCTCAAATCCATTAGCGAGCAAGGTCCAGTCCATCGTCGACAACACAGGCCGTGGCTGCGGCAGCAATTTCCGTCAGCTCCTAGATGACTGAGACTCGGACGGGCTCAGCGGTCGAGCTGCGACGCCACCAGACTCACAGCTGTAGCCAAGCGGAAGTAGATACAAGCATATAGTGAAGAGTTTACAAGAATCAATGGCTGAGCGTGGTGATAGCGGAGACGAAGTCCCCGCCCCCCAGGATTTGTCAGGGGGGGCACGAAGGGAGCACGAGCTTGAACTACTCCGTACTGCGAACGGAGTAGTGTTATTGTCTTTGGTAGCACCAATAGGAGAGGTGAGGTGGGGGTTCACTGGCGGATACCATACTGTTGGGTTGAAAAGCGATATATTGGACAGTAGGGTCCCTCTAGACTCAACGACTCATTTGCGCAAGGTAGTCTAAGAGCATTCCGAATAAGTCCAATGACTCCGGCAGTTTCAGGAGACATCTGGGTCTTGCCTCAACTCGCAATGCCTTGTTTTTCATCGGATCCGACATCAACTAACTTAAGAGTAAGTCATTATTAATCAATCAGTCGAGGCAAAGTCGCTTGAGAGGTAACGGTCGTAACCCGTCGCTACATTTGCCGCACTTAGGAGACACTCAACACAGTACGTCTGCTAAACATAGTTGATTTATATCCCAAGATCTATAGACTACATCCTGCCCGCCGAGGCTCGACGATGAAGAAGCCCCGAACAATGTACCCGGTATATGCTATCCAATACTTAGTGGCCTATAATAATCGAAGCTGTCGGCCAATTTGGTCTAGAGCCTAGGCAGACGAAGCCCGATAGTAGGGAATGTATGGCAGCACTACAATCTTCTCGGGATCCCACTTGGAGGTAATGTTAGTATAGATTATCAGCGGCACAGCTTGGAGCTAGGAACTTACCACGTCGCCGGTATAGTACGCGTCGTCGGTTACCACTTTCTTAGCTGCCTCTAGGTTTTCTACCTTGAGGAGAAACGCAGAACCCGCGAACGTTAGGTTACCTGCCACCGAGCTTGCAGTGAGAATAGGGCCACCAGAGTCTGTGAGAATCAGGTTTAGCATTGGTTCAGCGGAATTCACGTGGTGTGTAATTTACCGAGGTTTCCTTCCGCATACACTCCATCAGCATGCGCAAGGTGGGCTGCCTGGGCAGCCTTTTGACGGTCCAACACGCCAACGTCACTCTTGGCTGGGGCGTAAACAAAGTATTCGATAGAACCAATTTGTGCGGAGACAGCAACGGCTGCCGACGCAGCAATAAAGACCCGGCTGAAGAACATGGCCTTCCTAGACTTCGAGAGAGTTGTAGGTGTCTTGATTGTAGAGAAACGGTGTTGAAGTATTCTTCTTTAATTATATAAAACAGGTAGGCTCCTCCCTTTATATACTTTGTAGTCAGGGCGCTGGGACAACGTATCTGCAGGATCTTTCTCCCTGATTAATATTACCCCTGTCTGGTCCTTACCTGATATTGTAGCCATGTCCGGTAATATAGAAGCGGGTCATACAGGGGGGCCGTAACCCCCTTGTTCATCTTAGTATCTACTAATTATCCTTTGAATTGTCAGTATACGAAAATCGTATTCTGGCAAGTGATCTTTCTCTCTGATCAATATTGCCCCTGTCTGGTTCTTACCTGATATTATAGCTATGTCCGGTAATATAGAAGCGGGTTATACAGGGGGCCGCAACCCCCTTGTTCATCTTAGTATCTACTAATTATCCTTTGAATTGTCAGTATACGAAGATCGTATTCTGGCAAGTGTAAGCCGCAGGAGAAATCTGGCCTAATAAGCATTGACCAATCATGTTTGCAGTCTTGTCTGGTGATTATCTAAAGTTTTGTCTAGAACACGGTTGTCGAAAGTTTTCTTTCCATATGTTTTCTATCTACACTCTTCCATTCTAGACTCTTATCGACCGCTTGTACAGAAATGACAAGTCCTGGGGGCCTCCTTACAATTTGACACAATTGCGTAAGCAAGCCTATCAAGCAAATATTGAGATCTGCAGCAGTACTTGTATCAATTTCACCTACTTGTCTTTTATCTCGGGCCTGCATTGGTGGGTTGCTCAACGAGCATCAGACGCTGCTGATGCGGAGATCTCACGTGCTACACCTGACGGTGTATCAGCAGATCTATCTTAGTTCTATTAATCGTTCTAGCTTTTAGATGCGGGCTGGGAGTTGTACGCCGACGGCCAGGCTTTTGAAGACTTCATCCTTGCGAATAGCAACTCGTGATGATGTCCTACGATTGCTAGGCCGTTGACTGTTGTCTAACGTCGAACAATTAAGATAACACCAATACTAACGCAGGCGGTAAGTGGCAAGGACGCGCACATCTAGCGATTTCGGTCTGGCCAGTGGGTTGGTGCTTGGGCCTCTAGTGCAGGAGTGTACATTGATTGATAGAAAGTTACTATGTATTATGGGGTCATTGGTCCATCATCCCTATACGTATCAGCTGTAGGCTGGCGAAGTATCGGAATGTGCAAAGCCCGGTGGTCAAACTTGTTCTCAAACCACGACTGCCAGCAGAACATGCTGGAAAACCAGGGGTCCACCGCAGCTTCACCCTCGTCCAGTCGAAAACCACAGGTCTACACTCGAACGTTATTCGTACGATTCTAATTTCCACCTCATCACCGAGGGAAGCAGACCCACGTCAGTCATGTCATGTGGCTAATAACTATTCATTGTGTTGAGTTGTTGGGTCTGACTTCTTCTTTTGTTTTAACTTTCTATCAAAACTCTCTCCGGTGGCTAATAACTACGCCTGGGAGCGGAAATGGGAATCGAGGCTTAGAAGTGCGAAAGTCGTCGATAAATGGAGTCAGGGTGGCTCGACCAACGCGTTCAATATCCAATATACGGTTTGGGGCCGAGCGATTGGGATGTAAGCTAGGTCGAATATTCCACATTAGAATGCTACCCCTTTGCAAGTACTGTATTTACTCAAGAAATTTGTTTTTTTCAGAACCCGACTTTCTAACCCCGGTTACCACACTTCATACAGGCCACCCAAATAGGTGAGACTTTTAAATCCTTCCGACCAGGCCCTAACAGCCGGATCTCACAGGTTCATATACCACACGTCGAATTTCAACTAATAAAGCTATTGCAATAAATAGGGCACCGCTGGGGCAGCTAGATTCGAACGTACAAGTTACAGCCAGGCGCGAAAGGAAGGGCCCAGAACCCTCGCCACTTTCTTAACAAACACTCAAGCGCACAGCACCGATCGTACGGCCCGAGAATACTAGGCTGGTGGAAGGATTCATAACTCCCACCTAATTAGGTAGGTAGCATGAAACATACAGTCAAATGGGTCAGAAAATCGGGGCCCGAAAAAAACGAATTTCTTAAGTGAATACAGTAAGAGGCGAAGCTAATTGAGAGCTTATACGGTATAGTACGAGTAGGAATAGAGTGGCCCGCTTCGGCTAGTTAAAAAGAGCTTGGCCCACTGATCAGCGGTGATATTAGACTATCGCCGGTCGGACTCGGGCTCGCTCCAATCAAGTATAACTATAAATGACTTAGTCTAAGCCACAGCGCTCTGATTAACTATAGATACGATATACTGTATTAGGTTTGAGTTCGGACTCGGACTCGCTTCAAGTTTTCTACCAACCGACTCGGTCTGACTTACAGGGCTCTGATTTAGTTAATAGATACGACTGCGAACCAGCGCATTTCTAACAGGCTCGCAATTATCCAACCATTTGCCTTGATCGAAAAGAGTCTGTAACATTGCTAGGTCGTTAAGATCTGCGCATATGGTCCAGGTGGCCAAATCCGGCTCAAAGCCCCTTTGTAGAAGCTCTCCGACTATTTCTATATCTCTAGACATAACAGCCAGAGCTAGAGGGCTTCCTTCAACGCAGACCCCTAAGCACCACCAAGCCTGGTTATAATTATCCCCGGCCTCGGCCCTCGAGACTGGCGTTAAAACGCCATCGCTGGCCACAAAGAACGGCAACTTGGCGACATTCGAAAAGGTGAATAAAGTTAAAAGCGTTTGGAACAAACCAACATCCCCAAGTTGGGCAGCCAACCCCAGGGCAGTTATATCGTAAATAGTTGTCTTTGCCTGTTCCGGACGTAGTTGTAGAAGCCATTTTGTGATATCCTGCATCCCCGTCTGAACTGCAGCGCATAGAGCGCCACCATCGTACTTTGCTGAGTCATCCTCTATGACTCTTGTGATAGTTTTAGGATCCTTCAAGAGGATAGCCGCTTCGAGACACTTCACGCCATCTATGGTAGAGACTTTTAGACTCCCTCCACTACCCAGCAAGAGATCTACTAGATTTTGGTCCCCGGAGCAGATAGCTAACGTGACCTCCCCGCCGAGAAGTTTAGCATCGTGCTTGAGGAGTATATCTACGATTTGAGCCTTACGGAGGGCCCTGGCAGAACGCGCCTTGATGTTATCCGTGAAGAGCAATTGAAGTGCGTTAAATTGCCTAAGACCATTGCGAAATAGGCAGTTTGGGTCGCCGCCAGCAGCCAGCGCAGCCGTAAGTAGGTCTAGGCGTAAATGCTCGACTGCTGACAACACTTCGAACCCAGTCAACTTAGCACCAGCTTTAACCAATGTTGTGGCGCAGGATACCTGCTTAGTAGTTGAGGCGCGCAATGTTGCTTTACGATCCCTCGTCAAGAGTAGTTGCAAAGGCGTGAGATGACACGGGGTGCAGAAGTCAACACCATGTAGATCATACCGCTCAAGAAATCTTTGTCGCTCTTGAGGACTTTGAAGTGTCACGATGTCGTCAACATCAGCGCCTCTGTTAAGAAATAGCTGAACGATCTGGGTGTGGCCACCATAGCTGGCAAGATGCAACGGAGAGGGGTGCGTAGATGTATAGGGGTAGTAGCCTTGGAGATTCATCAACAGTTGGCATGTCTCTAGTCGACCTTTTCTCGCAGCTGCATGCAACGGAGTGACTCCATAGCAGTTGGATGCGATTCCATTGGGGTTGATGCTGTAGTAGAGATAGCGAGACGTATCATCTTTTCCTTCGGCTGCTGCCGATATAAAAACATCCGCGGACAAAAAGTCAGCAGTTGACTTTTCCGGATACTTAGACCTGAGGAGATCTATTATGAATTTCATTTCCGACAGACCAGCTGATGCGGCTGCTGATATAGAAGTCTCTTCATAGAGAAAACCGCACGGATTCTGCAGTGCAGTGGTGGGATTGGCTCCTTCTTGGACAATTTCCATGGCGATTTGGGTTTCTCCTCTCGATATAACAAGCTGTAGGGCCTGATCCAAGCCTTTAGAGGCACCATGCTTAAGAAGTAGTCTCGCCATGCGCACTGCCATTTCACTGCCATGTCTGTACATCCCCAACGACAGCTCGAGGGGTGGATGAGGGACAATGGCACCAGCAATGTCCGAGCGGCCCATATTCACGGGAGGTTTACTTGCTGAGCCACCTGAACCGTGGTCGAGGACGAGATTAGCGTCTGCGCCTGCTTTCAAAAGTTGCTCCATCAGGTCTAAGCTTCCACACAGGATTGCAGCCTGAAGGGGCGTCACTGTGTGATAATTTAGATGTGGAATCATGAGCCAATTGTCAGGGTTATGGCCTGATGACAGGAGCCAAGTCACCGCCTCCAGGGCTTCGCTTCTCCCACTGTCTAATGCTTGATAGTGCAAGACATGGTATATAGATGCATGGAATATTGTGTGCATGAACCCCTGGACTGTTGCATCTTGGAGACTTTGCGAGTCTATCTTGAGGTTGAGCACCCCATATTCGCGAAGCAAGTCCAGGAGGACACTCCATTGCACTGTCTCACATAAATCAACGAGATTGTTTGAGAGATTGTAAAACAATATGGTCCAGCATTCCAGTAGACATTCCTCGCTTGATCCATTTACGAGAATTTGAGCACGTTGCAAGTTTTCCCCTGGGAACGACTCGGGCATTGAAAGCCCAATCATGGCTGCGAGCTGAGATACTTGAGGTTGCGACTCGGTCAAAGTAAGCCCGGGGGCTACCCCCAGGACCATAGGGAGAATAGCTTGCGTCTTGACGGATTGGAGAAGGCGAATACTGCCTACATTGCCGTCATGTTTCGTTATAACTGTATGTTGAAGTAATTAGCAGTTATCGAAGGCTGTAGGAATCTATAACCTAACACTGGATACTTAAGGATTTGAATTTAAACCAAGGCAGATTACGCGGCCACTCAAACTCCATAGGCAGTGGTGGTGGTGTACACACAGTCACCTCATTGTTGATTGGAGACGCCGGTAGAGGGCTCAGTGCTATACGCAATGATGAGATTAAGCAACCAGCTAACTTGAAATTAATCAAGATACTCACCTGGTGCATGTTGAGCAAAGATTGACATGTCCCTATACCGGTTCGTCGCTTTCTCAATGGTACTTGGCTTCAACCGTTTGCCACAGTGAATCACTTCGCTCTCCTTGCCCATAGCCTTGCGTTTGGAAATCCTGTTATCGATGGAAATCCAAGTGGCCTTGTCGATGTTTCTCCGAAATCCCCACAGCTTCAGCTTATATTCCATCTGAGCAACGCTGCATTTTCACGGTCAGTCTAACCTCCTTCCGAGATGTGTGCGCGGTGCTCTAACGTAACAACAAGGCCCATTTTATCGGCGTCAGCTACCAGCCGCTTCAGTGAGACTTCATCCACAAGGTAAAGCTTTCGTAGGGCAGGCTTTCGCTGAAGCCATTCCGCCTCTGTGGGTTGAGGTCGCGATGTCTCCATTGTGGATATTGAAAGGTAAAGAAAATAGAGCAACTCGAGATGCTTGCCAGAGTCTTGAAGGGAAAAAAATTGCAATGCACTTTGCACATCGCACCCTCTGAGGCTTCGTTTTTCCGGGTGTGAGCAATGTGCATTTTCAGCTCGGCCAGCGATGATTGGATGCTGCCAGAATCTGATCCCACGTCACATGAATCAAATCTTAGGAGAGGGCTTGGGAAGCTGAACATCTGAGTGGTTGATGCCAAAATCTGAAGCATCCTACCTACCCCACTTGCAGTAGCGGTTCTCCCCCTCCTTTGGGCTTCGCTCAAACATTGGCGGCAGTTTGAGCGAGGGTCTCCTGGAGGCGAAGAAGCCCAAAAAAGGAACGAAATGTGTTGTGCTTGCAGACAGACCTGCGATCTCATTAATACGACCCACTGGGCAAGACAGGGACTTTGCTTTCAGAGGCAATCAATCCCCTTCCAATTTATTTGTTTTATGATGTTAACTATCGTTGAAGCCCGGACAACGCCCACATGATATACTCAAGGGCATGAACTCTTCTTACAATCCTCTTTCCTATCCAGCAAGCCTTAGCGAACCTCTTTCGAAGAAGCCGTAACCCCCAAGTTTTTCTCTGAGCCCCCGCCTTCGACTAGGGCACCGTCGCCTTGGGTGTCTCGTTCACTGAGAGTGGCCTGAGAACTTGCTCTGGAGCAAAGAATGTTAGCATTCTCAAACAAGCACTCTCGTTCCCATACAATAATGACTTACTCCTTGCGCTTGATATATCTGTCGAGGACGTGGGTTGCGGCAATAAGTGCGATAGCACATCCAAGGCAGAACGCGAATCCTTTGGGATAGCTTGGGGACTCGACGGTTGGAAAAGTAAGAAGGGGGGTCCAAGCTGTCGACGATTGCGCGATGATCGTGATCAGAACAAGTGTAAAAGATCGTTCCTGCGGCGAGTCGCGAAGCAAGTTATTCACCCAACCATGCAAGACACTGGATAGGGCATTTGACCAATACATAGTTGAGAATCCAAACCACTTGGCAGGCTCTGGCACATTCCAGACCACCAAGATTACAAGACCAATAGCGTTCAAAGTAGATGCTAATGTGATTGCCCATGCTGGCCCCAGTATCAAATCGGAGGCGAAGCAGATAAGTATGTTGTAGAGAATACCTAAGGCTGGCGTAATCGTTCCCAGTTCGTTGATCTTAGCCGGGCTATATCGGTTAAGACTCTTAATCCATAATAAGAAGCTGCCTGTACTCTTGTGGATTCCAGCATTCCAGAAGAGTACGTCGACAAGGATAACTGTCCAGAAGTGAGGGCTCCTGAAGATTTTCTTCAGATGCCCGATCTTGAAAGTGCCATGAGTGACATGCCCGCTGCTCTCGAGGCGTCGTTTAGCGATCTCTATATCCCTATCGGTTAGTATCCACCGATTGGGCTTATCAATACTGCCGGGAAGTAGGAAGTAGCCCAGGATGCCGACTGGAATGGTTATCAGAGCACAAATAATGTACATCCAACGCCATCCAGCGAGGCCGTTCACGCCCTCGAGTCGCTGAGAAGAGCCAGCTGCAACGAGTCCCGCAGTTAAGGTGCCTAGGTTAAGTCCGACATAGAAAAGCCCACCACGTCGGGCAATTTCATGACCACGATACCATGAGCCTATGAAGGACATTTAGCGGGTAGACACGCATCTTGAGAAAGGGAAAGGTTTATACCGAACACATAATGCATAGCCGGGAAAAAGGCGGCCTAGAATCAAAGGGTTGCAGTCAATATCAGATACCACGGCGTTGTCGGTTCAATATACCTCAAAGAAGCCAACCAAGAACCTATATGTAGCAGCCTCTGCAAATGATGATGTTCGGTATTGTAGAAGTGTGAAAATTCCCCACATGATATCCATGAAAGGAATGGTCCAATACATTGGGATGTAGGTGAATAGGAACATAAAAGGCAGCATTCCAACCACTGCCCCGACCGTGTACATTGTCTGAAGCTGTACCAGTTCGTTCCCATAGAACCCAAGGTCTTCCTTCATGCCGGCGACATAGGCATTGTCTGTCAGAGGAAGATTACTAACAGTTCGGGGCATACAACAAAGTCGGATTAATCAAATACATACTCAGGTTACTCTGGTCGATATACTTGACCCAATAAGCAAGAATAGCATAGGGTACCACGATTATGTCGAGCTTAATAAGAAACCTGCGTTCTTCGGGCGTATCTTCGTCGGCATACCACTGGATCCTCCACCAGCGCTTCCGAGGGACTGTGGAGTCAAGCATCTTAATTGCAGCCAACAAGGCCAGTCTGATTCAAGCAGTGGTACAGAGTGAATTGGATCAAAGTACTGTCATAAATGGCTCTTGAATTTAGCGGACAACGGCTTTATAGTCGAATTGGTCTTGCTGGGTCCTTATGGCATCTTGGATAAGTGGCTCGCGCCATTTTCCACCATGCTCTTCCCCTTGCAAGGTTGTAGCACTAGTGGGGAAAATATAAGCCTAAAACGTTGAAGAAGAGCACGTTATTTGCATTGGTAATGGTGAAATACTTCGTGAAGAAGACGAGATTGACGCTACCTCCCTAGTATACCATGCTTCTCCACTGAAACATACTCCAAATGTCGTATGTAGCATGGTCAAATACCTCCACCAACCCATAACGCCGAGTTGGAAATCGCGTGATGGCGGGAGTTCATTACAGCGTTATCTTAAATCAAAAAACCAACGCTTCCTAGACTAGAGTCCCCGCATCGTCTAGGATCCTTAACATGATGGGAAGCATCTCCGCTGCGGTGTCGGGTCTTGTAACGGCGACACTGCCGACTCTCAGAAGCCAGTTCTGCACAAACAATCATATCACTGTCACCGTAACGTCCGTGCGCCTCCGCCATCGCTCCGGACATAGATATCCCAGGGGCATCCGTCTTATCTTTCTCAGCCGCCGAGGTCGCAGACTACGAGACGTCAAGTGGGTCGGCTGTCAGTTTCTGCGATGTCAACGTGTCTCTCACAACTCGGCTGGCGACAAGGTGCGCGTCCAGGTCTGGCTGCCGCTGGATATCAATGACTGGACAGACAGTTACAAGCAATTGGAGGCGCTGGGATTATTACCGGCGCCTTTTCGACCCCGCGGTTGCTAGTGGATACGCAGCCCGGCTTGTCAGCTCTCAACCGACCGGAGCTCATCGGAAGCCCCAATTGATAGCCAACTTCGCGTCCCTGTGTCTGCATGACATGGAGCGTGGGCAAGGTCATTCTGAGAGGTTCTATGGTAAGCCGGCCAACTACTTACATTGTAATGCATGCTCAATCGGAGGGCGGCAGGCCACACCGGACCATGGAGGCCCAAAGACGCACCAACGATTTCGATGGCATCCTTGCCCTTGCTCCTGCCATCAACTGGGATGAGTTTATGACTATGGGCCTGTACCTATATATGGTCATAACCTTGGAGGGAGGTATTGTCCCGGCTTGCGTCTTTAATACCTTCAAAGAGTATACCATCGCATTCTGCAACGCCAACGATGGAGCTGCAGATAGCGTCTTATCTGATCCTCAAAGTTGCAAATTTGATGCAAAGAGCGCAGTCATGAATCCGCAAATTGCAACGGCAACTCCCACCCCGCCGTACGCTCTCTCCAGGCAAGAATCTGCAACCTAATTGCCGACGGGTTCGTCACGCAGAATGGGACCAGGCTATGGTATATCCTGATGCCTGGAACCGACTTTTCCCAACTAACGCATGGCCCTCTATAACTTAAGGATCGCGCTCTAGACAACAGCCGGACCTTGATCCATCTACAATCACGTAAGCAATGCTTGAGGATATCTTCGTCGAGCCCCAAGAGATCAGTTGTCGGGGCTGATGACCCCAACCTAACCGTATTCTGGGACCATGGCGGAAAAATAATGACACGGCCTGAGTGACCTACTCGTCTTCCTAGAACGGACTTTGGATTATTGACGTGTAAAAGTGAAGATGGGTGGCTCAGCAGCGATTTTAATGACTTTTACCGAGTCTTCTCAGTCCCTGGTGTTGCATGCTTCTGTGGAAGGTATAGCTGCTTCCGTGAGAACCAATTGAATGTTTTACTTTCTTGGGTTGAAAAAGGTTATGCACCAAATACTCTTCCCGCAACGACTATAACCGATGAGGTTGTATGCGGGCGCACCCTGTCGTGCTTTATTTGCGCGTCGCTTGCCAATTTGCTAATTACTGACTCTCCATACGAAGAGGGTGTATATTTTTGAACCTCCTTTGTATCTCTCCAATAGTAAAACCTTTGTCAAGGTAAGTCTGAATCCCCATAAGGCAGATAGATACCAGCAAGCTCATTAGGAGTCAGCCTTAATCGAGGTATCTAGGAAGTGAAGTTTTGTTCCAGGGTAGCATTACATCAGCCTTCAGCCCCTGATGACGTTACCCGGACGCGAGACAAACACGACCAGCGCGTAATTAACACCTTCAGTATTCGCGTTATGTGGTCATCAAAGTTTACAGCTTCAGACTGAACCAACCTCATCCAGCCTAAACTGGACATACTCAAAATGCCGCGAACTTCATCTTCAAACCCAACCAGCGATAACAACAGGAAAGGTGCAACTTCAACTCGCTCGTTGTCTCGACAGTACAAGAGGCCATTGGAGAAGTCTGAGCCGCCTTCAGAGCCTGCGCCTGTGAAATGAGCCAAGGTGCAATCATCTATTGAGGAACCACCCATCAAATCTGACTCCGCACCTAAGCCACACCTAAAGGCTTCGGATTTGGAATTTAACTATGAAACTCTACGTTGGACATGTTTATTGTGGCGGTGGATGTATTTCTGCGATCCTAAGTACTCGAGTCGAGTAGTTGGAGGGAATTTCTGTATTGAAGCTCGCTTTCTTACAGTATCTGTAAAAGCCATACGTCTCGCAGTGCTCGGCACAAGTAGCTTTGGCTTACATTGCTGATGCTGTACTTTTGCTGGTATCTGAGAAAGCGCGTTGGATTACGGGTCAATACGTTTCAGTCAGTGGCGAAATTTCAAACTAAGAATCTTCATTTCTGCAACATCCAATGGCTTTGTGCTCCGGCGACATATGTATTGTAGAAAATTACTCGTCGATCATCGCTCGATATGATCCCTGGCAATGTTCTCCGCGCACTATTCTGAGTACTTCCTAGTGCTGGTAATTCTCACGCACGCTAGAGACCATCTTAATACAAGCGGTAAAAATAAATAGCTGTGCCTGCAACAACGCACGCAGGTCTGGGCATACATCTCATCTCTGGTTTTGGCTGGACTTGGGCTATATCTTTACAATGTCGTCTTCCAGACTAAACAACGGCCAATCCACTGTAGACCTCATGTTCATAAACATGTCACAATCGCAGGATATAAAGAACCGGAAAACACAGCAAAAGATCAATCGCCATGTGATGAAGCCTATTGGCCTTTGTCGCAGGGGCGATCGGCAGAATCAGAAAGTCGAGTTGGCCTTCAAACCCGATAGACCTGGGCCGCAGCATTCAGAAAGCACAGACCGAAACACGCAGGGGCCTCTGAATAATTTGAGTCCCGACAACCAGCGCCTGCAAGCATTGTCTGCCTCCGCGGCTTCTCGACATTTGCTGGCTCTAACTCCACCCCTGAGCATTCATAAAAGACCGAGCTCCCGTACTGTGACCGCCCGCACAAGCAAGATGCTCCATTTCTGTTAGCTGTTATTCCAGCCATATGTTCCCTTTCTAGAAAATCACGTGTGCTCTAATATCATGCAGTGGCTGCGGCGCCAGAATCACCCGTATGTGCTCTGATGCGAGAGCTTTGCTTCACCCTTGCCTTCATCGACGACGGTGCTCTTCATCTGGTTCTTGCTCGTCTTAACATAGACCCGGAGCGGAACGGAGGGCAAAGATCCCGAGAGAATCAATACTCTTGTCGCATTATAACGCATCGATTGCCGTAGTTAAGGATCGGCTTGAAAACGCAGGACTCGTTGTCCATGAGGCTATAATTGGTGTAGTCGTGAACTTGGCGAGCTACGATGTCAGTTTCGACAAATGAAAAATACCTTTAGTGTAAGGGCTAATTCGTATCAATAGTTGTTTACTGAAAACTTTACTCGTTGGAAAATGCATATGCTAGGGCTGCAGAAGATGATCCAATATCGAGGTGGTATTCACAGTCTCAATTCCCGTTATCTGCGGGTTACGGCAACTTGGTGTGTAGATTTGCCTCAAAGCTATTCCCGTATCATCATTAACATGGATAGGACCGATCTGGTCGGCTCCATGGCTATAGACCAGGTTCCTTATTTCGCATTGGACCAGGCCGACCCGACCAAGGCTCGACATGTACAAGACAGCGCTTTCAAAGAATCTCTGAATGTGCTACAGAGGATTTATCCCGACTCCGCAGGTATCACGGTTCTTTTGAATCTGCTGCTCAGCCTATCGAAATTGGTTGCTGGAAAGTCGGAGCTTGGGCTAAGTCAAGATCTAGCTCTGATGGAGACACTACACGCTATCGTATATATCACCTTAACCCTACCACGATGCAACGAACGCGCCATAGATGACAATAATCCTTTATCACCCATTGAAGCGACTTACGAAGCATTTCGCCTTGCAATGATCCTGTATTTGTCTGGGCCCGTGATGTTTGTGGCTGGCAATAAGTTCTCCAATCCGGTGGCTTCTCGCCTAAGCTGGAAATTATCAAAACTACTCAAGGCACACATCATTGACTGGACAGGTTTAGAACAGGTTGAGCTGTTTGTGCTGGCTTTTGGGGCTGTGACGGAAATAGGATGTGGGAGGAATTGGATGATAGCCCAATTGAAGCACACCATGGTGGAACGGGGCCTACGATGGAATGTCTTGATGGATAACTTACGGTCAATGGCATGGGTCGATATTGTCTGGTTGGCCAACCTGAACAAGTTGGGTGGTGATTTGACGCATGCTAGTGGCAGCTGGATGGATTCTTTAGTTTTTACGAGGTGTCTGAGATTCTAGAAGTGCCAGGCCCTATTCAACTTCTTCAACGGAATACTGGGCTAGCTGTGGACTGTTCAATAGTGTAACAACCAAGTTACAACACAAAAAGGATATCTATACAGTATGATGAATGAAATATTCGGAGTAACTCTCTGCATTTGGCATATTGCGAATAAGCTGCTACATGAAACCCTAACTGATAACTACACCGTGCCAACAGGATACAATGCAATGGCTGGCGCAGTGGCTGCGGCTATAGTGTCGTGCAAGGCGACCAACATGCCAATGCTCCGCCGCATATTTTGCATGCATTGCACTTTTGTAGTAGTAATACCACTTTATTAGGCCGAGCCGCAGCCGACCCTCTCAATTTCCCCCTCATAGCTTCAGGTCAGGTCAGATCAGATCAAATCAGGGCCTAAGCAGCACTAATGTCCAACATCTCTTGTCTGAACCTCACCGATAACCTGGCCAAAATACGAACTGATCGGATGGGCCTTGTAATTTGACCGTTGCGCTCTTGGGAGCCACCTCAGTTCAGGCTACGCTAAGTAATTATGCCAGTTGCTTAGTATCCAGCTTCACACCAACATCACAAACCCTAGACTCAGATATCAGCGCTCAAGGCTCTGGACGTGGGGTGATGGCTACGGCTCAGAGATCCGGAACCGAGAAGCTGAGGTCTAGTTGTGACCGCTGCACGGCGCTCAAGATCCGCTGCGACAAGCAGACACCGACCTGTGGGAGGTGCAGAGCGCCCGGCCTCGCATGCGTCTACAGCCCCTATCGCTGGAAAGGGAGGCCCTCAAGCAATAGATCAAGGCGTCTAGAAGGACAAGGCGCTCCGGCAGAGCCTGCGTCTCAGCCGACACGGGTCGCGGAGGAAGAGCCCAGCAGCTCGCCAGTGTCGCGGGGTGGTGCGACGCAGCCACAACCGGGCACCGAGCACAGTTACCCCGAATACATGGAGCTTTCGTCCCCGGGTGTCGGTCGAGGTCAATTTCCTCCAACTGCCGAGTTCTCCTTTGAACATAGTCTTGAAATTGGCCTTTTAAATCTTGATGTTCCGGCCAGAGACACATTCCCACATGCGCTCATGCCCGTCAGCCAGACTGAACCAAGCTCCCTGTACTCGCCAACTAGAGTAGAGAATGTTACTCAGCCATCTTATCCGGTTGGAGAGACTACGGGGACTGTCGGATGGGGGCACGAGTCCGAGTCTGGCATCCACTCCCTCACAACCCCTAGCATGGCCTCGGCTATTGTTCGCTCATGTTATGAAATGGTACTGGATACCTTATCTAGCTTACGCAGTATACCACTGGACTCGTGTCTTTTCAGGGTTGACCTGTCACAGACACGGGCAGAGGGAGGCGACCTGAACAGCGGACTGGGCTTACCCGTCGAAAGCGTGTCGACCGACCAGGCCTTGAAGGTCAACCGCGGCGCTTTACAGACGTTGAATCAAATTGGATCCAGGAATTGCAATAACTGTGCGGCTGACGCTAATATGAATCTACTTCTCCACACAACATGTCACCGTATGCTCAGCATCTACCGGTCGATCTTTCAATGCATCGCGGACAAAAACCATATGAGCACAGATCGTCACCAAAATGGGCTGGAACCACCATACTTGCCCCATTTTAACTCTGGCGGTCTCTACTTCAGTCCTGTGCAGTTCAACGAATTCAGGGTCGACATGCTCACAGCACGGCGCCTCAACTCACAGCTTCTGAATTATGAGCTGGAAACTCTCAAGAGACTGGTAAAGACGCTGGGGAACCCGAGACATAGCCTCGGATCCGCGGAAAGCCGCGCAGATGCGAGTACTCAAGGCCGGCCTGTGAACTCCGCGACCGCGACATCATACCAAGAGGTTCTTCGCCAGCTTCTCGCTAATTCGATCGATGAGTTGATTGCTGAAATAAGACAATTTTGTCAAATGTAGTGTTAAAGTCACAACGGAATGAATAAAGTATGATATAGAATCCGAATCGTTTAGAGAAACATGGTTTTCTTCCTTCTTAAACTGCCCCCTTATAGAGCAAATTCTATACTTCGTTTGGTACCTACAGTTGTTCATTCTGAACAGTGAACCCTAATTTATTCTTATTTTCCCTTCCATGTCTGAAACGTACTTTCTGCGGTTACGGGCATATTGCACGCTTCTCTGTCACTGTTTGTCGTGGCACGTCAATGACCAAGCTCTCTGGGATTTTGTCTGTTTCCACCCAGGCAAGCAGCGTCTCGAATATCCCCATTGGCTGGCCGCCATGGCCGCCGTAGCAGTGACCGAGGCCTGGAACCTCATAGTACTTGTGGAAGTCATGAATATTTTCGCCTCTCTTCCAGACTTCATTATGATACTGCTCTGTGCCTTTAGAGGGGCAGAGATCATCCATCTGGGCATGAGATGTGAGCTTAGCTAGTGTGGAGCTTGGAAAGCTTTAGAAAAGTGCACTTACAAGACCGTGGAATGTAATCATCTTACCTCCAGCGTCACGAAAACGGTCCAGGTCTGGGTTAGATGTGCCTATAGTAGAGGCATACTCCGCCGCAGCCCTGTGAAACGTCTCGTTGAACTGGTGCATTGTCATGTCGATAAC